CTGGGCTCCTGCCCTGCCCACATATTCTGCCCGCCCTGCCTGCCTGCCTCCTTTTGCCCGCTGCTCCTCCCCGCGGACGACGTGTGCGCCCGGCGCCATGTCCTGGATCTTGATCAATCCCTTCCAGCTGCTCAACGGCAGCGCCGGCAGCGGGGGAGGGGCCAGCGCCGTGTCGTCCCCCGCGGCCGCCGTGACCATGGGCATCACACGCAAGACCTACCCCATCGAGCTGCCGATCGAGTACCTCAGCCCGGAGCTGACCATCACCGACATCTACTTCCTGTCGCTGAGCGTCTACTTCCTGTGCACCATGGTCATGTACATTGTCCGGCGACACCACGAGCCGGTGCGCAATCGGGGGCTCTTCCATGCCACCGGGCTGTCCCTGGCGGCGGTCGGCTACTGCGTGGCCATGTCGCTCTCCCTGCGCCCGGTCAGCTGTGTATTCAGCTTCATCGTGGTCAACAGCATGCCGGCATTATATGTGATGGTTCGTCCAGCCAGGCCGCCCGGGGCCCTGGGCCCTTGGGAGATGGGCCCTCCGCCCGGCGGCCGTGCCAGCGGCCGACCCCAGCTCCGGGGCCTTTTTTTTATGTCGTGCAAAGAAAAGGCGATTGCCTTTTTTCTCCCCCCGCCGCCGCCCTCCCACACGCCCCGCGCACCGGTGACTGACCCGACCATGGTGTAGCCCACGGCCCGGCGCGTGCTCTACATCTTGGCGCAATACTGGTGGTACAAGGCCAGCCACCGGGCCTTCATGCACTCCACCAGCGCCAGCGACAGTGACGCCTGTCTGGATGACAGCAGCTCGGTCATCTACCTGGGCGAGATGTCCTCGGCGGGGCTGGCCGACGGCCCGGCCGGGCTGCCACTGGCGGATCTCGGGTCGCTGGTGTCGTCGCCCAGCATGGCGGCCGACGTGTGCTCTTCCGATCTCAAGGCCAGCCACCGGGCCTTCATGCACTCCACCAGCGCCAGCGACAGTGACGCCTGTCTGGATGACAGCAGCTCGGTCATCTACCTGGGCGAGATGTCCTCGGCGGGGCTGGCCGACGGCCCGGCCGGGCTGCCACTGGCGGATCTCGGGTCGCTGGTGTCGTCGCCCAGCATGGCGGCCGATTCGTCCTTCTGCCCGACGCCCAACAGCCCGTGGTCCGTGGACTTCCGGCCGCTTGGCACGTCGTCCTCCGCCTCGTCGGCCGAGTCGGCCGAGGCGGCCGGCCTGCCATGCGGGCCGCAGGGGCCCGGTCTTACCGGCCCCGGGCGCAGCCCGAGCCAGCTCAGCCTCGAGAAGGAGAAGGCCGCGGCCGCCGGACAGGCCACCGACAGCATGGCGGCCGGGAGGCCGAGTGCCCCGGCCATGGGCCCCGGCATGGCGCCCAGGGCCGCCGGGGAGTTCCCCCCGCACGAGGCCCCGGAGGATGCCCTCTTCTCGGCCACCAACGACCTGCCCCGGGCGGAGCGGCTCTGGGCGCGCTTCCAGCTGCGCTTTGCCATTTTCATCCGCCAAGCCCACCAAATGCCCGGCCACTTGCAGATCCTCATCTACTTTGCCATGGCCCTGCTGTGTGTGGGCTGTGCCTTTGCCTATGTCTACATGGACCAGATCGGAAGAGCACACGCCAACGACCTGCCCCGGGCGGAGCGGCTCTGGGCGCGCTTCCAGCTGCGCTTTGCCATTTTCATCCGCCAAGCCCACCAAATGCCCGGCCACTTGCAGATCCTCATCTACTTTGCCATGGCCCTGCTGTGTGTGGGCTGTGCCTTTGCCTATGTCTACACGGACCACCTGTCCGGGGGCCAGGCTCTGGACATTCACCTGGTGAAGGATGGCCTGTGCAAGGCCAACGTCGTGCCGGTGTCCACCACATTCTCGATGCTCTTCACTTCGGTCACCGTGCCGTCGGTGCTCTTTTCGCTGAAGGCACGCGATGTGTATCGCCATCGTTTTGAGCTGGGGGTACGTGCGCGCGACCTTGCTCCGGTGCTGGCTGGCGGCCGCGTGCCGGGCTTCCGGGCCGGGGCCCAAAAAAAGAGTGTCTGCCCGGCGCCTGCCTGCCACCCTGCCATGGGCCGGGCCCTGGCCGGTGGGCAGCCCTGGCCCGTGTGTCTTCTTCGGTGTGGCTGGCCTGCGTGCTGACTGGCGTGATTCCGTGGGGCCCTGCCGGGGGCTGTGACCTTGTGCCGACGCCTCCCCCCCCCCCC